CCCAAAAAGCAAAAAAGTACCATATTAATAATAATAATAGGTTAAAAAGTATTAATTTATTTGTTTTGTGATTTAAATTAATTTTGTTGTAACCCCCCAGTTGGGATGGATGACTAGTAACTGCTAGTTGGTTATCTCAAGAGAACTTTCTGAAGACTCCGCTTCTGGAATTACTAAATTAAATTTTTAATATTAAATTCTATCTTTTTCACTTACATAAATGTATACTTGATTTTATTATTTGAGCTTTAATTCGAAAAAACATAAATATCAAATATCTGTTAATAATGTAAAAAAAGGCATTTTAACACTTGTTTAACCTCATATTTAAACGTATTTATTTAAAAACTAATTGCTGTAAATATTTTTTTTTATAAAATATAAATTATTTTGACGTCATTGCAATTATATTGGTTTTAAAGAAACCTATAAATAGTATTTTTTTGAACTTTGATTTAAAATGTTTTCAAATATCAATAGTAAACACATTACATAAATGAAATATATAACTACATATAAAATTGCAGATTACGATTAGTATGATTATTATTTTATTTTGTTTTGATTACAAACAACTGTAACCCACATTTCAAACAATTATTATGGTATAAGAATTTAATTGTTCAAAAAAAATAATTAAACTATTAATTTGCTTTTTCAAGTAAACGCAGCTAGTAATGTTTAATCAATATTTAAAAATTACCACTAATTGGGATTTTGCCTTCACACGTGATATTTCTTTAAAATGTCAAACAATTTCTAATAAATACTTTATGTTAAATATTTATTAAATAAATACCAAATATACAAAAAAATTTTGTTTGCCTTACAAAAAATATATCTTTATTTATCTTTATTTTTTTTTAATTTTAAGGTTGCTTAATTTTAATTAGATAGGCTTGTTAAAGTGTGTATAATCTTAAATTTGTTTTAATTATTTTGAAATTAGTATAAATTTTTTTTTGGTTATTATTACACACATATTATTTTATTACTGTGTCTTCTTATCAGCTTTATTTTGCATTTAATAATAATAATAAAGCGATTATCTTATCATTTATTTCTTATCGTACAATTAAAAATTATTTTCTTCTATTGACTAATAATTACATTGCAGAGTGTTGAATGATGAAAAAAATTTTTTTTTACGTTCTTATCCTCTGGTTTTAATATGATTCAATAAAATAAATTAAATTAACTAATAGCCGCTAAGCGTGTTTTATAACATCAATATATTAATCATGACTAATAAGTCATTTGGGATTAATTGTAATAGCGAAATAAGTCATAAATTTATTTTTATTATCTCTACTAATTGTACTTTGTTTTTACCATATGGTAAAGTTTGTTTCACCTCCAAAACTATTAAGTGGTCAAAAAGGTTAACACTTGTAAACTTAAAAAAACTCTTATTAGAAAATTTATTTAAATATTTTTTTGGGGATTCACACTGAAAAGAGTTTATTTTTGTTAATTAAAAATTAACCCTTAAATGGATAATGTAGTAACAGACGTAACAAATCCTAATTTGTAATTAATATGTTATTTTTTAATTAATAATGTTATTTTATAAATTATTTCTGACAGTACATATATAAGTATGTATTATACATACTAATATACATGTACATGTATTATATATGAAATATGTTTATGTGTATATCTATTATATATTCCATTGATAGTTTGAAACAGATCATTTCAATGCAACCAATCTTATATACAACAAAAGTTTTTCTAAGTAGAAAAATATATGTTATAATCGATAATCACAATCTAAATCGTTATAAACACCGCCAATTATTAAAAGTATAATTTAAAATTAATTAAAATTATTTAGGAAAATAAAAAGACTATATTTCTATTTAATTTTCATAAATGCAGATTTTTCGTTAAATTATATTATGCTATATTATATTATATTCATTTTTGACTTTTTATTTAGGACAGGATATTATTAAAAACTTTTTTATAGGAAATAAATATATAAATACTTTTTTTATTTCAACAAGTTCAAAACAACCTTTAGGTAACAATCACTTATTTACAGAAAGTGAACTCAAAATGATCAAGTAGTAAAAAAAACTACTTTCTTATATCATAATCTGATAGTATATCAATATTTATTTGATTACATAGCATATACAATATTGTGTGTATTCAAAAAAATGCTAAATTTTAATTAATAATAATGACACATAAATAAATTTATAAACTTCATTACATAATATTATATAACTAGTAATTGCAGTACTTATGTATAAAAAAACTTAAATCGAACTTCCACATTAATGATAACCAAGAATTGATTTTTCCGCAAATAATTTCATGCTTAAATACACAAATTAATTGATCTGGCACTGGTTTGTTTATGGTTTTAAAATAGTTATGGTTTCTGAAATATGATATTTGATTGAAGATTGAAGATTAAACAGTTAATGTATGTTATACACATATGTATCTATTTATATAGCTATACACATATACAATATTTACAAACATAAATAATATGTATATTGAAATTTAAATCTATAAATAATTGTATAATTTTTAAAAAGATTGAGTAAAAAAATTATAGTTCTTGATATGTGGTTGAAAGACAGGAAAACAAGTTTAAATGTTCACTTATGGTAACAATTATTTTTATTTTAAAAGTGATTTATACACACAAAGAATTTATTCAAACGAGTTTTTAAAAGAATTAACGATTCATTTATAATACGTATAATTAAAATTTGTGAAATGCAACACAAATTTACATACAAACTGTCTGCTTAAGTGTATTAAGCAAAGTTTGTTTTACACTAAGCGTTAAAATGGACAGTTGCACAATTGTTTTAAATTATCATTTATAAATTTTAAGTGTTAATGAAATATACCTGAAATAAAAATATTTTAAAATAGAATAATTGAAGAACACTTCCAACATTTTGGTTTAGTAATATTTTGTATTAAAAAAAAAATATTTAAATAATAAGGAAAATGTTGAAGCTAATTGGCAACGCTTTTATAAAAAGTTATAGATTTAAAGAATCAATCAGTTTACTTTGATTATTACATGCGATTTAATATTATATATATTATATGCATATTGTAAACGAATATTTGTATAAAGTATTCATGCATTAATATAAAATCAAAATATATACACAAATTCATACAAACATATCAATCGATCAAAATTGCAGAGCTTTCATGTCTTACGTTGCGATTTAAATTTTGACAGTTGAGAAAATAATGGATGTCACTGTCAAAAGTTGTAGAAAAAAAGAACGGATGAAATTTATAATTTTTATTGTTAGATTTAATTATTATAACTATATTTGTATATAACATTTTAAAAACTTATCAATGTTTTTCTAAATAATGTTTTATAATAATTTATTTATGATTGTATATATCCAATACTCTAACTATACTCCTATATTTTTATTTATTAATTTATTTATTCTATTGTATTAATACAATAGAAATAATGAAAAATAAATAATTTATAAGTTAATTATTTTTACAAGCTTTCAAAAATGAATAAAATATTTTCTATTTGTTTTAAAATGATTTATTCATTCTTGTATATATTATACTATGACCTATACACCTTTAATTTGTTAATACATATTATTGCATTAATAGATTTGTGTTGCATATATTAATACAATACAAATGATGAAAAATAAATAATTTATAAATTTATAAATTTATTTCATTTACAAGCTTTCAAAAATGAAAAAAATATGTTCTAATTAATGTTTTAAAATATTATATTTATTCTTGTATATATTATCCCATACCCTATACTTTATTTTTATTTGCTGCTGCATTTATTAATACAATACAAATGATGAAAATTAAATAATTTATAAATTAATTACTTTTACAAACTTTCAAAAATGATTTCTCATATTTGATTTTGTATAAATGTATAAATTAAATAAATCAGTAAAGTGTTGTTTTAGTGTCAAATCAACACTTAAGTATACTTAAAAAATTGGCCCTTAATCTAACCCTTAATGCACAATTAACACTTAAGTGTTCAATTTTGGGCATTAAAATGTTATTTAAAATTCAAAAAAATATCATTTTGTTCTTAAATCGATACTTTAGTGTTCATTCTTAAATTCGACGTGAATCTAACACATTTATTTCTATCTATAGAAATTGTTTAAGTTCACGAGTTGCTTTATATTTATAAATTCAAATTTATAATTTCTAAGTTTTTTCTAATATAGTGAGAACGAATATAGATGAGGAGAAATATACATATGCTTTTTCATAAATTGCCTTAAAATTTTTGTTTCAATGTTTATGATTTTAAAAATAGAACTTTTTTGCATCGGTCAATCAATTGCAATTATATTATAATTAAATTATTAATTAAATAAATTGATTGTACAATAAGACATTCACGTGAACAGTACGTGATGTGGACATGGTAGTCACACTTTACCAGGCTAGTACCAACAAGTTTAAGCAAACAGTGATAGCTAGATTTGCGGTCATTTATCTTTATACTACGCCACCTAACATTACAGTTGTCTAGACTTTAGACAATCAGAAATATCAGAAATATTACTCAAGTAATTAGTATTTGTATGTATTTCACAATATATATTTAGACTATATTGAAAACTTGTTTAAAATATAAAGTTTCATTAAGAACCCCGCGTTTTAAATGTTATTCAAGTCTAAATGCAAAAATATATTAAATGAAAAACAAAAAAAAAAAAAAATAAAAAGAATAGTGAAGAAAATGAAAGCAAATATTGAACAAAACTCGATTTTTGTTGATTCTTCAATACATTCGTGTAAACATTTCGATAAAATATTTTAATATTGCGCAGTTTTTTGTAAGTGGGGCTCTCCTTAAGTCAAGAGGAAGAGTTGCCAACTCTGAAAAGAGTTTATTTACACACACACACATATGTATATATTTAAAAATTTCAAAATTATATTAAATTTAATTTTATAATTAATATTCTACTATTTAATTTTGTTTTTAGGTGTGCAAAGCTTTAGGCATAATCTGTGAAATGGAGTACTTTGGTTTAGAACATTGGTCTCCTAGCCAAGAAGAATCACGTACTCGACAATGGATAAACTTAAGAAATCGACTTTCATGTGATGGCAGCAATGGGATGCAACTTATGCTTGCTTTACGTGTTAAATTCTGGGTACCAGTCCATCATATACTGCAAGAAAGTGCACGAAATTTATTTTATATGCAAGCAAAAGTGGATCTATTGGAGGGTCGTTTAAACGCACTTGACTGGGTTAATGCAGCTAAATTGGCAGCTTTATTATGTCAAGCTGATGGTATTCGTTTCAATGAATCTGCTGTAAAATCAAAATGCCCCTTACGTATAAAACGTGAAGAAGAATTACTTAGGCAGCAACAACAACAACAACACCAGCAACAGCCCCATACCAATTGTAAAGAAAGAAAAGATAAGGAATATGTTTTGTCATTTAAAAAACGTCGCCTTTCCAAACAGAAATCGGTTGAAAATATCGATAATACATACACATGTTCAGCTGCTGCTAGTACTAGTGGTTTGCAATCATCATCATCATCTACCTCAACTGCTTCAACTTCTAACAGTGCCTATGCTCCACAAACCTCCAACACTTCGACATTAAGAAGTACTACCTCTGCTCAAACTAATAACACCACATCATCCTCTTCGCCTAGTCCAACTAATTCTAATTCAAAAATTAATCTCAATCAACAAAATGCAAATACCGATTCTACCTCAACCACAACATCTTTGCTCTCCATATATATGGACTATATAGTACGACCCGATGCTGAATGTGGTGAAATGCCAGAAGATTTTTTGCGGCAGATAGCTTTTGAACATGGAAAGCTAGCAACTTTGGAAATGACTTCAAAATCAGCCAAATATTGGTTACTGAAAGAAATACAAGATTTGCCAGGTTATGGAGAGGAAATTTTCAATGGTGTCACAACCAATGAAACTTCAACACGCTGTGATATTTCGGTGGGTGCGAACGGTATTATTGTTAATGCAGGAGATGAAAAATACAAGTAAGTATTTTTGCCTAAACAAATACAAAATATATTAAATAATGCTAAGTAAAATATTTACTAACAATATGTATTTATTTCAGCATCCCTTTTAGTGCCATTGCTGCTGCAAAATCGTTTCGTCGCGTTTTTAAGTTGGAATACGTCGATGATCACAATATGCGCAGAGAGTTGGAGATAAAATTGCCAAAGCACGCAATCGCAGCTGGCCTATATCGCTCCATAACCGAGCGTCACGCATTTTACGTATGTGATAAGGTGCGAGGTGTTGTCACAAATCAATTTACACGTGATCTCAAAGGGACTATTGCGTCTATGTTCAAGGAAGATACAGAATTAGGAAAACGATATGTGTTCGATATACAGCATACATGCCGTGAGGTGCATGATCAAGCACGCCGTATATTACACGATCGTGGCATTGCCGTAACGAATCAACTGAGCTATGGCAATACTATTAACAAATTCTTGCCAAGTGGCTCATTAGATGGTGAAGATGGATTACTGAGTAGTGAAACTGAGGGTGACGGTGAAGCAGGTGCTTCAAGTAGTGGCTTAAGTTTGAATGCTGGTGATTCTATGGCGTGCAAGTTAGATTTGGCAATACGTGAGAAAAAAGAACGTGAAGCGGCGATTGAGCGTTGTGTTGATACACGAATATCGGAAGCTATGACATGCAAAATATGTATGGATCGTGCCATTAATACTATGTTCAATCCTTGTTGTCACGTTATGGCATGCACGCAATGTGCAGCAAGGTGAGTTCACTTAATATTATATATAAACTATTTTTTTTGAATTCAAATAAGTCTAAACATAAAAGAAAATAATTAAATAAAAAAATATTAAAAAAAACTATTATTTCTTTTGTTTTTTAGGTGTACCAATTGCCCGAATTGTCGCGTTAAAATCACAGACGTTGTCAAGATCTATCTACCGCCAGAATTGCGTACCAGCTTATCCAGTAGTTCCGGTGCCAGCAGCAGTATTAACTCCCAAAGCAGACAAAACAGTCAGGAGACCAATCGTAATGAAACCAGAGCAGCAACTAGCACACAACCCACGACAATCCCAAAGATAACGACAACTGCATAGAACTGGCTGCGTTCGCTCATTTTACGCTTGTTAGAATGGGTTTGTGTACCGCTGGTATAATCGGATAGTATTGAGCAGATATATACATTAAAACAAATACTTAATAGAGTCATCAAATTGAAATATAAACATTATATCTGCGAATAAATTTATGGGATCAATATTAATATTTATGCTAATAGACTTAAATATTTTAATTATGTGTATTTTAAAATATAATTGAAATGAACTTTTTAGAAGTGATTTATAATAGTAATTGTAACTGTTATAATTGCTATAACTGTTATAACTTATAAAGCATTTCTTAGGAGTAATTTTTTTTTAGTAATTATTGTATTATTAGAAAATAGTTCTGTTCTGTTTTCTTTATTGTCGAAAAATATTAAAATAAATTATTATATATTTATTTATTTAAGTGATAATTTAATGCAAACTGTATATAGATTAAACATTTTTGTTTACACATATATACTTATAACATTTTATATATATACTAAAATTAATCTAAGTACACTCAAAGCCTTTAAGTCGGTTTCAATAATTTATTTAATACTATTACATTTTCATTTAAAAATATATTAACATATATTTTAAACTAAAGAAATCGATTATTTATTGAAATAATATAATATTAACGACTAATATTATACGCTATTTAATTATTATTTATTTGATTTTATAAATTTTTTATTTAAAATTTTATTGAATGACAATTTAAGAAATTTTGAAACCGACTCTATGTTTATAGATAAGTTCTTTTTTTAATTTCCCAGTTAAGAATAATATCAATGCAATATTATACTATATATGTATATAAACAAATACAGATGATCTTCTATAATAAAATTATATCTATTACAATTCAGTTGTTTGCATTTTAAGTTATAGTAATACCAATTTCCCGTAATGTACTGATTTCAATGAGTACATACGATACGTATCATATATCGCTACCGTATGTATTTGCCTTCAACCTGAATTCAAGTGTTTGAATCTTCAGTTATAGTAATCTTGATTTCAATGATATGTATGTATCGTATACCGTTAAATATATATACGGTAATGTATTCAAGATTTTCTCATACTTCATATTGTCAGCTATATTTGGTTTTATCTATTATGATATAGGTATGTGATTGGGTATGGGTATCTGACAAATATTATATTTATCTAAAATAACTAAACTAACAGTTACAATTAACAGATATTTGATAATGATATGTGTATATGTTCGATACTTTACATTTGCCGTCTTATTTTTTCCCTATATTACTTTTTTGCTGATATTATAATTCATTCTAATATATCGTTAAACTAAGTGAGCATGTTCAAAAGTTATGAACTTATAAATTTGCTAGAATAGATCGGTTTACTTATGCAAATTTTCTATTATAATCATTCCATGATTTTATCTTTGCTCTTCTGTATCAAACAAATTTTAATACGTTTTCTATCATTATTATTACTCTACGTTATTATTGCTTGGGTAGTCTACCTTTTTTTGTTAGTGAACCATACGTAGACCCTACCGTTTTTCGAACTAAGGAATTTTAACGAATTGTTAGTCAGAATTTGACAGTATTTATTTTTTACATATTTTTAATGACTTTCTTTAAGTAATGTCGGATGTTTATGATAGATTTTTAAGTATTACGTCTAGGCAATAATTCCTTGCCTAGACGAAAGGAGTTATAAAGAATGCCGTTATATATCATTTTTTATACATTTATTTACTTTTTACTTTACTCTTTTGTATTAATAACAGCCTAAAAGTATGCAATATTTATATAACAGTATTATATTTATAATGTTTAAATGAAATAGACAACATATTTGTGATTGCTTACTTTTGGTGTCAATTTAAGAAAAATTTGACAAAATTTTTTACATAATAGATTATTACTCCTAAAAGGTTTGAAATCATCTATATTGTTCAGGTATTTCAACGCCTAATGTGAAATTGATTAGTTCAATAAATAAATGCTTTTTGGTACTCTTCTCTTTGTGAGTACATTTCTTTCTACTATCGGTACTATCCTTTTGGTATTTACATTAATGTCCATATTATACAAATCTATTAAAAAATTTGTAATAAAGGACGAAGTTCTATGTAAACAAAAAAAAACATTATTTTGTGCTCTTTAATATTCATAATATTAAATTTAAAAAGAAAAAAGAAATACTGTATATGGTTGAAACAAATGTCAATAGCGAAAAGTATCCATATTTGTGTCGGGTCCAATACCTTGGTTTTAGAAGTGATGACTTGTAAGAAATGGACGCAAATGGACGGTCGAAAAGAAAAATTTTTTGTGCTTTGAACTAAATTGCTTACTAAACTTATAAACATATAAACTTGTAGGTACTTACTTACTTAAAGTATCCGTAAATTGTCTTTGTGCGTGTTAAGTAGCCCAATCAGAGAAACTTATAATAATGTTAACAATAATGTTAACGATCAGAGAAACTTGTAATAATGTTAACAAAAAAGTGAAATATTCAAAATGATTTCATTGCGCATTATCGTCATTTGAAATCAAACAATATACGAACATTTTAAGCAACTCAATCACACCATACGTTTACACTATCGCATTTAACGTAGTTTCACAATACTTTTAAAAAAATATTTGTTAAAAAATATTATATTCTGTATACTATTCATAAAAAATTGTTCGAGATAATTCTGCCAAAACATTACAATTATTTTATAATTACTTTCGATTGGTGGACTACTAAATCGAAACTATTCAATGTAGCAACCATGTGTATAAGTGTTGTTAATAATACTAAAAACATAACAACAAATTTATAGAAACGACTGAAAAAAAACACAAACATTATATTATTATTATTTGCTTTCAGTTTTTTTTAATGTGAGTGTTCCTTAATTTACTTGACGTAGTGTAAAAGACAATTGCTGTTTGATAATTATGAAATGTTAACATAATAAAACGAAAATAAAATAAAACCAAAATAGAAAATAAAAAAATTCTGAAAAACAAAAGTTTTATTACTTGCATGAGTATTTTTAAAATAAAACACCATAACCATATTCAAGACATGTTGACAAATTGCATTATTATTTTTTATATATAAATTCTTGATTAGAAGTGTTTACTCTTAAATACTTGTTTAGAACTGTTTGTTTTTCTGTTTTTGTACGGGTAATCTAAATTTAAGCTAAATTAATTTAAAAAACATAAAATATTATTTCATACCTTTTTGGTAAATTAGCGTTGCAGAAAATAAAAACATTATTTGAGAAATTTTATATAATAAAATATATATAGTTTATTTTATATAAAATTATGCTGAACTTAAATTTAAATTTAAATTCAATAATAAATGGAAAACCATTCTAAACAAAACAGATTTTTATGTGGCAGCACTAAGTGAAAAGTAAAATCGCAATACAGCAGCGCATATTGAATATGAATAATTTATATATAGTTTAAAAATTATGTCAGTTTAAGTTACATTTATGTAAAAAAAATGTTTTTTATTTAATGCTACATGTATAAATGTTATGTTATATTGTTAATCAAAACAATCGCCAGAAATAATTTTCCTTGCACTATGATTTAAGCAAGCGTGGCAACCTTACTTGCCGGCTTGCTGTCACTACTTCAAAAGGTGCGAAACACATGTAAGAAGATAAGTCAAAATTTGACAGATTCATTCAAAATGGACGCTCTGCTTTTGCATTTACATTCGTTGTTCTCGAGTAGTTTGTTCGTTCACCGTTTTTGTAGCTAACAAATAAAAGTACTATAACTTCGACGTTCTAAAAAAAAGACTTTAATTATTAAAATTATGTGCAAAAAATAAATAAATAAATTCTTAATATCAAATAAAGAAGTTCGTTAACGGCAACACAAATTAAATTGGACTGTGAAGTGGAACAACAAAAAGTAAACGAGAATAAAATTTAAAAGATTTGATTTTTTTTTATGGTTTTTACTACATTTTTCTTATTAAATTAATTTTTCAATAACCTTAAACTAATATAAAGAAAGAATATAAAATAATTAATAATTTTTATACACGGTCGCAGGGACGTTTCGAGTAACGAAAGCGACGGTGACGGTGACGGGCAATACGAGCGAGGTCAGCTGCACTCGTGTTCATTTTTGATACCAAAATTAAACAAAATAAATTCATTTAAGTATTGAATGTAATACTGAAAAATATATGATATTTATTAACTTCATAATATTCTTGTATTTGTGTTCAACCAAAGAAGTTTGAATAAAGCCATTACTTTTGCAACGAATAAAATTCTCATACTTGCTTATATATTTTATAAAAGAAAAATTATAATTTATTTATTTGTGGTCTTATGCTTGTAAAGCGAAATAATTTTAAAATTGAATATTATTAAGTGCCTGGAAATTTATAATAATTATTAAAAAATTGTGAAAAGTGCAGACAACGTGAAAAAAATTTGATTTTATCTTGGCCTTTTTTTTTTATTTGGATTACTTAATATCTTCAAAGAAGTTGCTACATTCATTATTGAACTCCACTCGGACTATTCTTGTTGGAAGCATGGATCCCCTAATGTTCAATAGTTGACAGTTTGTGGCTTTCCTATTGCATTTAAGTTATTCAGATAATTCTACTGAAATAAATTAAAGAAGGTTGCGTACGAAAAAAAGATCCAAACAAAGGTAATATTTTAAAAAAATTTATCATTTTGAGTAATTATAAAATATTGTATTATTAATTTTAAAAATTTTATGATATTTTTCAAATTATACTAAATGCATGATCATAAATAACTAGGAACAAGTAAAATAATCTGTATATAGAAGTCAATAATTTAATATTCGTTTTTCTTTAATAACTGCTGTATAAAACAAACTATAATATTAAACCTTAGATTATATTAGTTACAGAGCACAATAGTTCAAGCTGGTCGTAGCCTAGCCCATATTAGCTTAGATTAATTACAAATACCTTAACTGCACATGCTCCTGTTTAGTATCACCTTTAAGAAATGTGACTAAAGGAGTGATAAAGGCAGGTTCTTCGAAATGTAAAGTAAAACTTTTATACATCTTATCTGCGCGTGCCTTATGTGTGCCAAGGAGTATGTTCAGTACACAATAGAGTTTTCTTTCAGTCGAATAAGGTTTAGGATCTTGAA